CAGTAAGTTCAAATTAGACACTAGTCTTTCTAAATAAGCCTGTAAAGCTAATATCCGCATTCTCTATTTCAGTTAATCGATGAAAACATGTACCACGTGCATCTGCTGTATATTGCCATTTCACTCGAATTCTAACTGTTATATCTTTTAAAAAATAAAATTAATGTATGCAGTAAATATAGACTTATTTGTTTTGATGGAGATAGGGGGGTTCATGGGATTTTTAGCATGACTGTAGTAATATTCTCACTAAAGGGCTAAGCGAGTGCGTAGACTAATGTAAGTTACCACACAGGGTGCCTTTGAGTTACTCGTGTTCCATTAGTGTGGGTAGAAGCATTGCTTATCATATGACATTTGAGTGAGAAGCTATGATATTAGACACGGGGACGGTTAGGATGTGTAACGCGTGTCCATCCATCAGCTGCCCTGGCAAATCATGGTGCCTAGAATAAGTTGTAAGAGGACCCTAGTCTGTAGGTTTCCCAAGAAAATGACGAAAATATGCACCAAATCACCTTATGAAGAGCGTCTCCAATCACTTGACCTCTACCCATTAGAGTATAAGCGTCTTAGAGGTGACCTGATGGTTTACAGTATCCTTAACACTTCTGGACATTCTCTTAAGCACTTACTAATGCTTAGTCTCAACACTAACCTAAGGTGTAACACCCAGAAACAAAAAACGCAACATAGCGGAATGGACTGTAGACGCAACTTCTATTCCTTAGGAGTTGTCAAGTGCTGGAATTCGATGCCCGCCGAGGTAGTCCAAGCGACTTCCCGTGAGTTTTTTAAGAGGCAACTGGATGTATTCTTGAGGATAGTATCATACTATGATTTACCAATTTCTTTTCCTTCTTTTATTGTTAACATACCTAGGTTTCCTGCCTGGAGGTTTTGGTGATCCCCATCTACTAGACACGGAAGCCTATTAAGCGAAAGCTTCTATTCAGTCCACATCCATTCGAAGACATGAACTAGGTTCTGAGGCTTGCTTATCACAAGTTTCTTGCAACGATTAAGTAGATAAAACAAAGTAGCATTAGATTCAAAAATTTATTCAAGAACTTTCATTAAGAATCGAATATCAAACAAAGGTTTAAACCAAGTTCCCGTTTAAAGGTTGTATTGGTGATGTTAAGCTGCAGTATTTTTCCAAACGGAAGACTAAAAGAAGTCAAAAAATACTAGAAGTGGTTGTGGGACTAAAATAGACGTCCAGCATCCTTTTTATAATCTGCTGTTAGTTGGGTCTCCCGTAAACAGTTTCATAGTTCTAAGGGTGAAACAGTTTTTTAGAATCTGTGAAGACTCACTCCTGTTGCATTCTAAATGAGAAAATAGTAATGAATTTAGTCAGAAATGTGAAACAGACAAATAAATAAATTACATGGCTTTTAGCAAAGAATTTATGCAGTTGTGATTTACCTTGAGTTCATGAATATTAGATAAGGTCACTTACTATTACTTGTGCAAAGCATAACATGGGCTTAGTACCGTATTGCAATGCTTTTATTATTTTGCTCCCATTTAAGTATTCCCATGCACCTGCGTCTAGTTTAACAGGAAGACATACAAGCAGAGTAAGTGTCTGATAAAATAAAAATCCCAGTTGTCAAAGAGATTCTAAACATTTGTTCATAGCCAGCTGCATTTAATTGAGAAACAGAACACTCATCTTCTAAGACTGTATACTGCTGTTTTGCGGGCAACTGAAAGCTCAGACGCTTAGCTATCTTGCTACCGATGTTATTGCTGGGGAAATTGTTTAATGACAGTGATCATGAAATATGGTCAGTGATAAATGTACAGTCTAGAAATAAACACCAAACATACTTATCGCTATCTTATAATATATGACAGCAACAGCATCAAAGGCACGTTTTTTCCTATTTTTAATCAGACTGATCTGAATCAGTATACTCATTAAAAGCAGGCAACTCTACTTACTAAACTGATCTGTTTCGTTACAGGCTTCAAGCACTATACTTAAGAATAACATAATTCTTTCAACTAAACTGAATTATACGACAACCAAGAATACTAAACTAAGCAAGTGCCATAATTATTGTTTCATTTGCACAGACATGTTGCTCAAAGTAGTTAAATGGACATAATTAGGCCAATAAAACCAAAGCACGAAATATAGGCCATATGAACCTACCTTACAGAAAATAAAGAATACATATATTGCTTTCCGACTGAAGACAGCAGTCAGTTAATCAAAGAAACATAGTTTACAGTACAACAAAACTTTCTTCAGTAAAATCATGCACTAACAGTCTATCTGGAAACAATCAACTATGTGAATTAACTCACTATGACTTGGGATAGCATCTCAGCATGCAGTAAACGTATAGTGTAACGCAGTCGAACATGCAGAATAAAAATTAAAAAAAGAGCAAAATTAGCTACATAATCTAGTCATTTAATTAAAAATACATTATGAAATAACGAAATCTGTGGTTACTTGAACGCACAAATGACCGTTATTACGTTGGACGATACATTAAGTTTACATGGTTGCGTTGCGGATAAGATCACCCCCTATAAACACCTCCCAGGATCGTAAACTTGGAACTTCTTTGAGATACTCTTTGATGTCCATCGGTTTTGACGAAGTTTCTGTCGTCGACATAATGTAAAATTAATTCACTGGACATGATTTAGGTATGTCGCATTCAAACTTCGAAATAGAATATTATTGTTTCTAAACAATATGAATGAAGTAAACCTCCTTACAAGTCTTCAAATTTGATTTAAACACCGATTTTAAGAGACATTGACATGTGATTCATAATGAGTTTAGTGTTGTGTTATACTGATTGCCTTCTATAATCAGTTTTTATCTGAGTTAAAAGCTTATTGTTTTTCATAAAATCAAGTAGCATAACTACAGATCCTATTGAATAGACGAAAGTGTATCGTGTGTATTTGAGGACGAGTGCAAGCTTGAATGTTTGATGTGATCAATAATCACCATCGATGAATGCTTTGAGAGCCGTAAGTACCGAAATCTTAATATTTCATTTCAATGCGAATAACGATATAATAAATCAATGTTTGTTGAATTTCACCGAAACAACGATTTACGTATGAGGTACAAAGCATTTTTGAATCGCTCGTGTTAAAATGTAACTAATCGCAAAAGTTTTACTTAGTGTAAGGTTTTAGTACAAAAGGTAATCGAAGTAGGGAAAAGATACAAATACTTTGGTCGTACAGACTGTACTACATATTTAAATGTTTTACTATCTCTAAGCAATGTATTAAACATTAAAAACAGTGGTTCATAAATAACTATTACGTACCTAAGAATCAATATGAATATTTCCAACAAAAAATTGTAAATAATTTTTACAATTTTAAAGGGGATATCAAATTATAAAAAAAGCCTTAAAATCCTTCAGTTAGGTTAGACTAGCAATAAACATCGTACTGTACATTAAGAAGTTATTAATGAATAACGTTTATGTACCTGAGGATCAATATGAATATTTCCAACACAATGGGACAAAACATCTGTCTGAAAATATTCGAGTAATTATTTCTAGCAGGCGACCGAAGAACAACAATGATTGACCACTCAACGCAGTAAACCTAAAGATCTCCACGTTTTCTTATTAACAAGAAGTACGGACTAGCCCCAATAATGTGGCACATTATTTACGAAAATTCAAAAAAGTGATGGTCTGACAGTGAATCATATATTATTTCATCACCACACTTTTTATTCTAAGAGAACATGTAACTCCACTTGACAATAAATGGGAAATTATACAAGTTCAAAATAAACAAGTCTCTTAGATGTTCCAGCTGGCCAATACGATTAGTGATTGTGGTCCCGATGTAGCATTTTTCACAACAGGTATCGTCAGATATATTACTTTTCGCTGATGATGTGAAATTTTGTAGAGAGATGAGCAACCAAGTTGATATACTGACATTTCAGGAGAATCTAATTGGACTTCAAAGTTGGGTAGATGATAACGGACTTATCTTTGACACTTCTAACTTTGAAGTAGTCCATCTGAGACATGTTGCAGACTACAACTACAGCTTAGGCGACTCCCCTCTAGAAGTACCCCAAGTTGGAAAAGATTTGGGGGTGCTGGTACCCTAAGATTTGAGGTCTTACGCCAAGTGTGACAAAAATACTTTTCGAGCAAACCTTGCACTGGTAACATTGAAGCGCATTTTCAACCGGTTTGACGGAAAAAATTTCCATATAATCTTTTATAGAGTACAGGCGTCTTAGAGGTGACCTTTCAGTAACTTACAGCATTCTAAATACTTATGAACATCCCATAAACACTTACTTAAGCTCAATTCTAACACAAACCTTAGGGGTAATACCCGGAAACAGGAAACACAACTCAACAGAACGGATTCTAATCACATCTTTTACTCCGAAAGAGTAGTCAAATACCGGAATTCGCTACTGGCTGAGTTAGTTCAAGCGACTTCCCATGAGTCCTTTAAGGGAAAACTTGACATATTCTTAAGGGCTAAGGACAGTATCTCACTATGACTCAACAACTTTGTTTCTTTTTCCTCTTTTATCGATAATATACATAGGTTCCTGCCTCGAGGTATTGAGGATCCACAGCCACTAGACACGGAATCCCGTTTAGCGAAAGCTTCTATTCCATCCACAAGCATTTGAACCGCTTTAACTAGTTATTTTGATGCATCAAGTTTATCGGCAAAAGATAGTTTCGCCAGCTGTTATAAATTGAAGATTTTTTCAGGGCTAGAACGCTTCTGGATTACTGGGGTGGCTTCCACCTAGTAATGAGTCGACGCTAGTCAATTTCCATGACGGGTCTCCTCCCTATATTAATGAATAATAGAAAAACACAGTAATTTTAATAAAACAGCATTGTCAGTATAACTGTTATATTCTATTTTTAGTCTACATTTTAAAGATATTCGTGACTGTAAACAGTAATTTTCGCAGAATGTTTGTTTAAAGTTACAAGGTCTTTGATGCACTTATTGCCGTTTTTTCAAACATCCGTCAACTTCCCGTGGTTGACGTTGGTGAATCAACTATGCCTAATAGTGACTGTCCTGGTGCTCTGGTATTAGAAGATGGTTCGGTATTCAATGGCTTCTTGTATGGTGCTAAGACTCCCCAGTCTGGGGAAGTGGTTTTTCAGACAGGAATGGTGGGTTATGTAGAATCCTTGACCGACCCATCATACCATTCCCAACTACTGGTACTAACGTATCCATCCATCGGTAAGCCGCCTTAACGTTTTCATCTCTCAGGTAATTATGGTGTTCCATCATCGGACGATGTTGATGAATACGGTTTGCCTAGGTGGTTTGAATCAAGACAAATATATGCCAAAGGGCTAATTGTTTCTGAATTGTGTGAAGAGTTTTCTCACTTTTCAGCAGTCAAGTCACTTAGTCATTGGTTATATGAAAGTGGTGTTACGTGTATAAGTGGAATCGATACGCGATCCCTAACCCTGAAGCTTAGACAACATGGTATTTTTATTTTTATAAGTCGCTTTATGTTTTTAGGTACGCTTCTGGGGAAAATTATTCCCCTTTCACTACACCCAGAAACATTGGATTGGATTGACCCTGCTAAAAACAATCTAGTTTCGGAAGTAAGCAGAACTGATATCAAAGTTTTCAACCCTCATGGTGATGTTCATATCGCTGCACTAGATTGCGGCATGAAGTTCAATCAAATACGTTGTTTTGTTAGGAGAGGTGCAAAGGTAAGGCTTTATTACGTTTGTGTGAAGGCCTATAATTCTGTTCTGCATCGGGTTAGTTTTGTTTGAAGACATTTTTTGACGTTAAATGACTTATTTTTGGCAACTAGAGATAATGTAGCTAACCTTTGTACGATGATTTCAACGCATTAAAATTGGGGGACGAAGGGGATTTAATGGTGCTCCACCAGCATTTTTCACACAATAACAACGCATATAAACCAACTAGTGGTTGCAGTGTTTGGTACGCACTACTCAATCAGTTTCTAGTTGTCCTAGTTCCTTTCATAGTTTTCATTGGGTATTAGCATTTGTATTCAAAGCTGTTTCACTTAAAAAGTCTTTATATAACGTCAGATTTACTTAAATGTTTTGTTCCAAATATTTTATCGTCTAAAGGTATTTTGTAATATCTGTCCGATAATTTATTTTAGGTTACGGTTTTGCCCTGGTCAAGTGACTTGACTAAAACGGAAACAAATTATGATGCACTATTTATTAGTAATGGTCCTGGAGACCCTATCCAATGTAAGGGTATTATTGACCAAATTCGAGGATGGATGACCACAAAAAAACCTTTATTTGGCATTTGCTTAGGTCACCAATTAGTTTCTTTAGCATGTGGCTTCAAAACATACAAAATGAAATACGGAAATAGAGGTCACAACCAACCTTGTGTTCACTTACCTACTGGACGCTGTTTTATAACCAGTCAGGTAAGATAATTTTCAAATGTGTACAGTTTAATTTTATTGTTTTAGAGAGTCCCCTAGTTTAAAACATTCAGTTGTAAGGTAAAGTCCTACGGCAAATTATATCCTCCTTATCACATACTTCATTTATTGATATTGTGATAAAAGTAGCCTTTCTACTCAATTGTTTGAGTAGTTTGTCTAATTATTTAGTCATACAGGAGGGTTCTCGTAAAAGTGCTGTTCTTGTCTTAGAAATTTTTATGTTTGGGCTTCATGATCAGTTTTTCGTCGACGGTTGGTATTGCATGGTTCACTTACGGAATGGAATAGTTATAATAACCATAAAAACTGCCGAGTTTGTTGAGGCTGATCTGCACATACAAGGTATTCTTCGGTTAAGTGTTAATAAATGTTGGTGATAACGTTAAAATTATTCACCTTTTAAATTATATTTGCAAATTACCCATACCAATAAGATAAATTTATGCATATGCTTAATACTTTAGTAAAAACAATCAGACTGTTAGATACGCCAAAATTACGCAATATGGTTATACTGCAGAAAGTCAACACTTACAAATCATCTATTCCTTGAAAACCCTATTTCATATCTCATTGGTTTCACCGATAACTTACGTAAAATACTATGCAAACATACTGAACAGTCAATTAAGTCATTATGAGCTAAACTACATCTTTATATATGCTTGGCATAAAACCCAACTATTATAAGCTGGCTTACTAACCTAAAATGCGATCAACTGACCAACTAGCACATACTCTAACGGTCAAATCATGCTTTGATTGTACAAAGTAGAAGTCAGTTTTGGTTACAGTAGAATAGCGATATCCTACATAGTTTCCTCAACCACCGCTGAATAACTATGTAAGTGCTAGACATGGAATTCTGATCTTAAACAACACGGATTTTTAGTAAATGTCAAACGAAGATAACAAGTGGTTCCTAGAGAATCTAAAGGTTATATGATCCAAAGTTTATATCTTTCTCATTAACACATTTTGACTCAACTAAATCGTGTAAAGAAAATAATTTTCAACCTGTATATATTTAAAGATGATAGCTAGACAAGTTACAAAGCGAAATTTTTATGAGTTTTTCAATGACGTAAGTGACAAATTAAGTATTTCTGAGCGTCTTTTAGTTAGAAAAGAACCTATCCTGTCGTTAAAGCGATCGGGTATGGGCTAAGCGTAAAAATATGGACGTAACTAGTTGAACATTAACCCTTTTAATACCTAATATAAAAGTACTGGAGTTGGGTTATTCATATATAAAACTATTTTACCCTACAGTTTTGAGTATACTAACTAGATTTAGTTAAATTAAATAATTATCTGGTTTCGGTTAGCCTGATAAAATATAGTGATGTCATTTTATCTTGTAGTATATTTATTATTCTTTCCATAGCTAAGCTTACTGGCGTTGAATTATTTTTTTGTTCCCAAAGAATCATGGATATGCAGTTGACACTAAAAATATTCCGGATGGCTGGTATGAATTGTTTCGGAATAAAAATGACCGGTCAAATGAAGGTCTTGCTCATTACATTTATCCATGGATGACTGTTCAGTTTCATCCCGAACATATGGCTGGACCAAGTGACCTGGAGTTTTTGTTTGATATTTTCCTAAGTTACGTAAGTTAATTAGCCTAACGTTTTGAAAATCGTATATGGTTTTAGCGATCCTGTTGTGTTTTCAACAGGACTGCTGTTCAAATTTATCGTCCTTTGCTTCACTTTTTATAGATCCGATCATCCGATGGACAGAGTCTAAGTGATCATCTAACGAGGCACATTTCCTATAACCAGGAGGAATTTGAAAGAGTGCTTTGCAGTAAAGACAATAAACCAAGAAAGGTTTTGCTTCTAGGATCTGGCGGGTTGTCAATTGGTCAGGCTGGGGAATTTGATTATTCTGGTAGTCAGGCTCTTAAAGCCCTTCGAGAAGAAGGTGTTCAAACGTTACTAATCAATTCGAACATTGCAACTGTACAGACGACCGAAGGAATGGCTGATAAGGTAAGACTTCATGGAATAAGTTATTAGTTAGTCCCTTACATTCACACTAGTTCTGATGGTTTTGATTATTCTTATCCTAGTTTTATCTGATAGCTTCTGTGCGAGCGATTCGGCATGTACTCAAAATTTTATTTATTTATTTATTTATTTTTTTAACACATCGATATTGGTACAAGGAGGCACCAAATACATATGCGCCACACAAATCTCATTCGATACGTATGAGGACTAGGATACTGCCCGGGTGCCCAAACCGAAGCAGGTGGTTTTCTTAGGGGGCCACTCCCCGAGCCTTCGACCTGAAGGTCTGATCCACAAGGCAGTGGAGCATCGTAAGGAGATGCAGTCCCATGGTAACTGGTGACCAACAATTGGTTCATATGCCATTTGTTCCCGCACGATACTGGAACTCATGTGCATCATTGGTTTGGAATTCGGTTAAAGCGCCGGACATTCGCTTTTCGTCCTCTCATTTTCGTAAACAACACCCCTGCCACGAGAAGGTAGTGAGTAGGACTTCCCTGGCAGAGGCTATATACGCGTGGCCATGTGAGAGCATTTCAAGAGGGAGAGCGGACTCTCCTCACTCTCGGCCGTACCAGGGAATTTGGGGGCACTCAACACTAACTGTAGCTGTGCAGTTGCAAAATGAGTTGTTTTGTTCAACTTAAAATATCGACCATAATCACACGTCTTGTAATTGTCTGTTATCCAAAGATATTAGTCAGTCACTACTATGTTTAAAGTCAATTTTTATGCTAAGTTTTATCTCTCATCCTACGTGTATTTGATAGGAAAGTTTTTAAGACTTGAAGAGACTTGGCACCATGTTCTTGTATATTCATGGAAAACAGAATTGTTTATTCACACGTGTCTCTAATTTTGCAACAATCTTTCTAATCAGCAGTAAAACTCCATAGTAAAAATAGACGATGATCTGATTTGATCTATTTTATGACGCTTTCATGAACAGAAAAATCACTTCGTAAGCAGGTGGAAAATGATACTGACAAGAAAGTGTTGTGTGATGTTTTCCAAAAAGTTTCCGGTTTGTCATGACCTACCAGTTATAGAAATATTGATGGTGAGCAGTAGGAATTGCGTTATATTACGTCGTTTCGTTGCCAATTTATACTTTTCTCAATTATAATTGTATAAAACTATATCATGTTTTTTATTACCTTGAACCCTTGCAGATATTTTTACTTCCAATCGCCCCAGATTCTGTTGCCCGCGTTATAAAAGCTGAGCGTCCGGATGGTCTTCTAATAGCTTTCGGTGGCCAAACTAGCTTGTCGTGTGGTCTCGCTTTGACAAAAGTTAGGTCAAGTTCTTTAATTTTGGATCTTAAAGGTGAAGATTCAGGGGCATCAAATGTGTTGGATTTATATAATTGTCGAATTTTGGGTACTTCCATATCTGCCGTTGAAATAACGGAAGATAGAGAACTATTTGCAATGGCTATGCGGGCTATAGGAGAAAAAGTTGCTCCAGCAAATGCAGCAACCTCTGTACAGGTGTGTCAGTGTTTTTATGTTCTCATCAGTTTGAATCATTCTTTTTGAGTAAGATAAACACCGAAACATATGTTTCATTTATTAGTTAACAAGGACTGATTATCATCTATAATATTTGTAGGATGCGGTCAAAGTTGCAAATGATCTTGGTTATCCTGTACTTGTACGTTCAGCCTTCGCATTAGGAGGAATGGGGTCAGGGTTTGCTGAAAACGCTACTGAACTAGAACGACTGGCTAGTAAAGCTTTGGCTCAGACGACTCAAATTTTCATCGACAAATCCTTAAAGGGGTGGAAAGAAATTGAGTATGAGGTTAGTTTTTATTAAAATATTACTAATCATACTGTAATATCAGTAAACTTATACTGAGTTACATCCGCTCCTACTGTATGATATTATAACTAACATTTTTTATTTAGGTTATACGTGATGCTTACGACAACTGTATTACAGTCTGTAATATGGAAAATGTCGATCCTGTAGGCATTCACACTGGGGAATCTATTGTTGTATCACCAAGTCAAACGCTCTCGAATGTTGAGTATTATATGTTACGATCTGTTGCAATTAAAGTAAGTCTTCTTTTATTAGTCCTTAACCCGTTATGCTAATATGCTTCACCATAGTTTAATTGATATTCTTTGTCATGAGACTTTAGTTCTTCTTTGTATTGTTATTCTATGCATCATGATTGGTTCACATATCTCTTAGTTGTAGTTATCAATAATACCATTTATCTAATTTGCTTGTACATATTTCGATTTTCAATTTTAGGTCGCTCGTCATCTACGGATTGTTGGTGAATGCAATATCCAGTTTGCGTTAGACCCACATTCTTTGAACTATTACATCATTGAAGTGAATGCCCGACTGTCTAGAAGCTCCGCACTCGCTAGTAAAGCCACTGGTTATCCTATAGCCTATATAGCTGCTAAACTTAGCCTGGGCAGGAGTCTCCCAGAACTTACAAACAGTGTAACTGGTGGTCACACCACAGCATGTTTCGAACCTAGTTTGGATTACTGTGTTGTGAAAGTTCCTCGCTGGGATTTAGCAAAGTTTTCCAGGGTAAGTTCAATTATTATCTTTGTGACTGTGGTTAATTCGTAATAATTTCTGAAGAATCGCTATTTTAGCTGCTGTTCGCCAAGTTTTTCGATTTTCCAAACTCTGATTTAAAATTATTTAGTTTTGAATAAAAACAACATTCACTTATCAATAAATATTATCAGCAGTCCTCATAAAAAAGGTATGACACTACCTGTTAATATAAACTTAAAATAGTTAAGTTTAATTTTTTTTGTACTTAACATTTTGTTCAATAAAAATCATACATTTCCTATGAACGTCTCATCTGTATAATGAATAGGTAGAAAGCTATTTGGAAATGTACATGAACGTCTTAGATACATTATGCTGCAAGTGGTGTAACGGATTACTGAATAATTGTTTAGTGAGCATTTTGTTTAATGAGTAGTCTGAAATGATGAATTGTTTTTATACCCTGTTCTTTTGGACAAGTTAAGACTTCTGTCTCTTGTTAGCTAGTAGGGAAGAAGATAATAGGAAGCGATCTCGTTCATTATCATTGATTTCATAGTTATAAATTATCAGCTTAGTGCACAGATTTGTCAATCTTTTTTGACTGATAACTTCTATCATACATTTGCTGAAAATATTAAGTATATATAAACCCGATGCTTAGTTCGGCGTTTAACTTCTCTCATCACTAAATTATTCCCTGGTACGGCCGAAGATGGGGAGATTCAGCTCTTCCTCTCGTAATACTCTCACATGGCGACGCGTATACAACCTCTCTCAGGGAAGTTTTACTTGCTGCCTTCTCGTAGCGGGGGTGTTTACGAAATTCAGAGAACGAAAAGCGAACATCAGGCACTTTAACTGGGTTGGTGGACACGGAGAGTCTACCTAGGGGAGTTGGAAAACCACGATTCCGAACTAATGATGCACATGGGCTCCAGTATCCTGAAGGAACAAATGGCGTATGAACCAATCGTTGATCACCGGTTACCATGGGACTAAATCTCCTTACGTTGCTCTACTCTCTTGTGGATTAGACCTTCACAACGAAGGTTTCTTGTGCGGCTCCATAAGAAAACCACCTGCTTCGGTCTGGGCACCTTGGAAGTATCACAGCCCACACACAAATAAAATGAAATGACGATTAGTAGTGAAAATACTATTCTTGCTTCAATTCAAATTCATTTGATAACATTCACTTTTATTTTTTCTATATACTACGTCTATTCTCTTCTTTTCTCACTTTGTGTCTCCTTATTTTTAAACTTATACAACAGCTCATCTGTGCTGTAAACCCTGTCCTATCTAAACGATCTCGAGTCACTGACTGGTCAAAAGTTGAATGCTACCACCGACTACGAATACCATTCAAACTGGCTTACTTCAACGTCCTCACACTAGTGCAGATCGGACAACAGATAGGGTTGGCTATGTCTTTAGAAAGCCTTAATATTGACGTCTTTTGTCTATCCGAGACCCGTATTCAAGACACTAGTAAAGTACTGCAAATTCACTATTCATCTGTCACTTCGAAAAGCTTGTTTCATGTGCGTTTATCCGGGGACCTTGTAGCATCTTCGTCGGGTTTTCCTGGCGTTGGTGTCGTACTAAGCGCTAGAGCTGAGGCAACACTGGTCGATTGGATCACCATTAACAGTCGGCTATGTGCTGTTAGATTAAAAAGTTCTATCAAAGTGTGAAGAAATCGATGTGAGAAACGATGTCTTTACGTCATCGCCGCATATGCTCCAAAAGATGGCAGCCCGGATATTATCAAGTATGAGTCCTACTACCAATTAAGTGTTCGTTTACACAAAGTGCGTTCTAAAGATATTATGGTACTAACCGGAGACTTGAATGTTCAAGTCGGCGTCCAGGCACAGAAGAAAACTTTAGGTGGTCGATGGGGTCTTGTTGGTCGCAGGTCAGGTAACGGTGGCCGTCTACTGCAACTGTGCGCAGATACAACCTGTTTCTGCTTAGCACTAACTAACGACACAGTCTTCGCCGATGTACCACCTGATGTCCTCCCTTTGCATCTCAAGCCTGAACTCAGATTTATCACATCGCGATCAGCTACCACTGGCTTGATTGTGTACAATACTGCCGCTCCTCTTGGAGTACCTCTCTGGATTGTCATCATGCCCTTGTTTAAACCAATCTTACCTTACATTTCAGTGGCCAAACAAATCCATCGTCCTAAACGGATCGATGTCAGTAAATTGGTCGCAGCTCCTGTTGCAACTAAATATCAAATCGAGCTAGCTTCAAGGCTAGCTGAAATCCCACTGACTTGTATGAATGAGCATTAGTTGCAGTCAGTCAGCTACAACGTAGGACCAGGCACATACATGCAACGGTCCAAGTTGCCATACCTCATTAGCACAGCAAAACGAACACCGGATTCACAGAAGTAGTCAACTCAATGGTAGTAATGTATTGAAAAAAGATTGCGTATAAGGATATATTACAGGAAGAAAGAATTAGTTGGTATAAAGTAATTTTAATCTCACAGTTTGAGGTAGGATAAAGAGTGTATACACCTACACCATTGTGATCGATTCTGAGCCATGTCACTCAGAGTCTCCAACCATTGGTTACGATAGTCACGCGGACCCCAACCGAGTAGTCTGCATCCACCAACATGTCTAAGACTAGAAGTTAGTGATTTCAAGGACTGATGACACGTTTTTGTTTTGACCACCTCTAAGTTTCTTCCAACCATCCTCAACACTAGTCAGCATTGCGCGTCCTGGTAATTGTGTTCAGGCATACGTAACACGTGGCCCAACTATCTCAGTCGATGAAGATTCACAACCTCAACAACTCATTTACAATCATTTCCTAATGCCCTGAATATAACCTCACTATTACTTACCCGATGATCCCAGTAGATGCGAGCAATATTTCTAAGACATTTGTGATAAAAGATTAGCAAGTTACGGGAATCTTCTACTCTTAATGACCACGTTTCGCAGCCTTAAAGTGAAAAAGGACGAACTGCTGCTCAGTATACTCGTCCCGTAATTGGTAGATGGATATTTCGCCTTCTCCATAGGTGACGTAAGTTGGCAAAGGCCAAACGAGCCCTTCGGATCCGTGCAGAGATTTCGTCGGACACCAACCCATTCAGGCTGATCAGACCTCCGAGATACGTGAAGTTGTCGACGCGTTCGACTACTTCATTCCCTATCCTTAGTTCAGGTGTTGACGCAGGCCAGTCCTGAATCAATCGCATGGCGCCATGAAATTGACTAGTAAAGTCGCTTGCGACTTCGTGAAACGTCCCACTCATAAGCACTGGGTTTCTTCAGGTCATTGAAGCCCGTCATTCTACTCCGGGTGACCGCAAGTTTGACCAGAAAAAACGATGTTTACGTTATGAAATCAGGCAAAGCTTGCGTAAGGACTGAGAAGTCTGGTGGTCGGAGCGTGCTAATGAGCTGGAAGCAGCAGCTGCATCTGGTAACTGCTGGAAGCTCTTCCAACTCATTCGAGTCACTGGCAGCAAGAAGTCTGGTGTGAGCGTAATAATCTGTGAAAATTACTAGATAACAATTAACAGCATCCGTAGACGTCTTGGATGTTGGGCAGTTTTTTGAAGGACAGTTCAACTGGTCCGCTTCGCCGGCAACGTCGATCAGACTATCCTGCCCTCCATAACCCGTTAAGACTGATTTTACTTAACAAGGCGGAAGTCCGCAAGGAACTCCAACTCTTGAACTGCTACAAATCACCAGGCCCAGATGACATACCTCCGGTCTCTTTTAAAGATGGTGGTGACTTTCTGGTTAAGGAACTGACTGGTTTGTTTCAAAAGGTTTTACAGTTAGAGAGTGTTCCAGCATCATAGGATGAGTTGATAATTGTTCCTATCTTTAAAAGGGGTTCATGTCATTCCTGTAATAACTATTGGGGATAAGTTTACTTCCGATCACGTCCAAACTATTTGCTTCAGTCATAATTCGTAGATTGTTCTAAACCCGAGAAAAATTGACTTGCGAGGAGCAAGCTGGTTTACGTTCTGGTTGAGGATGTATTGATCATATCTTCACCCTCCGCCAAATGTTAGAACACCTTCATACTTATCAAAGGCCAACTTTGCCACCGATGACTTTCTGGGGACAGTTCTGATAGACGTAGGTAGTAGTAGTGTGGATCTGTTGCATGGAGGAAGACTTCTCGATCTTGAGTATGTAGATGATACTGTCTTACTGTGCGATGATACCCAAGCCCATGCAAACTGCATCTAATCTGTTGGCGATTAGTGTCCGTTGGTATAATATGTGTTCTGCACCTTTGAAATGCAACGTACTTTTACAAGACTGTCAAGACCCTGATCATGCACTCACCTATTTAGTGAGAGGATAGTAGTCAGGAATTTTGTGTATCAGTGTAGCTGCATAAGTACTGGTGGTGGCGTGAGTAACAAGATCAATTCACGCACAGTGAAAGCCAGAGTGGCTTATGTCCTGCTGTAACTTCTTTTAACTGTCTTCATAAGAAATGGATGTAACTTCTTTAACTGGTCGAATTCTTTCTGGTTGTACCTTTACTAACTGAACTACTTCTCCCACCATTATTATTTCACTATCACACACTCATTTCTGTTCGTTATTGTTCTCCTTTTTCTTGTACCCACTTCACATTCTCATTGTTATTGTGTGGCGCATATATATTTGTTGCCCCCTTTGTAGCAATATTTATGTGTTGAAATGAATAAATAAAATAATTAACTTATAATCGCCTTCAAAATATTGTTTGGTATTATGTTTTTTGATATAAACTCAATGGCTTGAAGTATTTAAAATAACCAATAGTTCTAATAATTGTTACACATATAAAACAAGTTCGACATATTCATAGTAGTGAAAATAAACATTTTATTGCTCAAAGTTTAATTTTTCAGTGGTAATTGAATATACTGGGATAGAGGGGATCAATGAATAAACCAAAGTATTTGAATAAGGGTATATTCTTAAAACGTCTCACAAGTGTTAATTTGCTGTTGTTTCGTACTGTTCACAAGTACATCTGAGACAAAACTGCTAGCAGCTGTGTTGAATTGAGTAGTTGTTAGAAATTTACAGACGGATTTTCATAAAAGACATGTTTTAAAAATTTATTTCAAGGTGAGTCGCAAAATTGGCAGCTCCATGAAAAGTGTTGGTGAAGTAATGGCGATAGCACGCTGTTTTGAAGAGGCCTTACAAAAATCTCTTAGAATGACGAACGAGAGTGTCTCTGGATTTGATGGCTCACTCGAAGTTCCTGATGAAGATGATTTATCTGATCCTACGGATGTACGAATCTACAAATTATCTGCAGCACTACGATCCGGCTGGTCAGTCGAACGTCTTCACGCGCTTACTTCCATAGATCCATGGTTTCTGTATCGTATGCGCTCCATTGTTAACTGTGCGAAAGAGTTGGAATCGGTAAGATTAATATCATTTAGTTGTTGATATTTAATAATATTTTAGTGCAATAAATTTTTATGTTAACCATAGAGTAGCATTGAAACAATGGATATTTTCGCATAGCTTTTTGCCGCACTAAGAGTTTACGTAGCATCACTCAAATAAATTCATTTGTAAATAAATATATTTGTAATATCCCGATGAGTAGAAAAATTAGATTTTCTGACGTTTCGTGACTTAGTGTAAGCCACTTCAGAATTTTTCTACTCATTGAGATATTACAAATATATTATTTATTTAAAACAATCTACCCAATGCTCAACTTATTCGAAATTATCAAACCAAACCTTGGTAATGATACCTATAAAACCATTTGTTTGTATATACTGTCTAAAATGATTGAAATTACTATAACTTATTTATCCCTTAGTGGTTTATTAAATTAAACATACTTGTTCTCTTCAGTCAGTTAAAGACTACTTCTGAGATTACTATCGTTTTACTATTACATTTACATCAATAGTAGAAGAAATTTTTAACTCATAATAAAACCGATTTAGTACCGATAAATCCATCACATCTAGTGGTTCAAAGTTCAAAATTATACTTAAACACTCAGATAAAATCAATCAATTGTTATTCTGTTTTTTGACGTATCTAACTTTTTGGTAATATATTGGATTCATTATATGTATTATAATTTATTTTAACTGTAAATATACATTTCTTAGGTATATACAATAACTAATTGGTTTATCTATCACGTTTACATCAACCTTCCTGTCGTTTCATGGTAACATAGTACACTTGATTTGGTAGTGAAGATATGTAAACACTCACTTCGTGAATGCTCAAATAAGTTAGGGTTGCATAGTACTATTTTTATACTTGTCTAGTCATTTAATTGTAACATCCGAACTCAGTACAACGTATGCATAAAATAAACTGTCTGTCAAACTTTATGATACTAGTTTTGTTTTGAAGTTTTGTGGAAAAAATTAGATCACTGTGAATCAAGCTAAAATATACCAACCGATTTGTCGTTCTTTCAGTAATGTAATCATCATGCGTTTTTATCGAACTTTTACTAAATCGACATTCTCTTAGATTTGGGATACCCCTACCATCCTATTACTTTATAAACCATAAAATGTTAAATTATACTCAATTTAACAGAAATCTTGAAGGTTCAGTTGAAATAATAATTATTTCCTTTTTTTATCAACACGGTAACTAAACCTATGTCTCGTATTTGACTTGAGATTCCTAAAACCTTTAACTTTTAGCTACATGACGGAGCTCTCCCAAATGCTATGAAGTTATTAGAATGTATACCAACAACCGTTCCAGACAAGAGCTCCTTTCATACCTTAGTGCGACATGCGGAAAAAGTGATGATTGCTAAAAGGCTTGGTTTCAGTGATTTCCAGTTAGCTCGTGCTTTACGTTCGACTTCAGTCATGGTTCGTTGGTTTCGTAAACACCTTAACTTAAAGCCACTGATCCGCTTAGTCGACACTGTGGCAGGAGAATGGCCTGCAACTACAAATTATCTTTACACAACTTATTCAGATATTCCATTAGGAAATATTCAACATTTACTCAAATTCTTCCAAGACGGTCAAACAGAAACTTTAGTATCACAGGAAATGATAGATTTACTATTAAAGTGCATGACTGTGACCAAAATTCATGATGTCTCACCTGAGCAAAAATGTAAGTTTATATAACTTGTTCCTTAGTCCATTTTTATCTGCTGAAAATCCCATTCTAATGATGTTGATTGTGTGCAATGATTTATTATATTTCATTGATAAAAATACAGAACGAATAACAGTAGTATTTTCTTTGTTTGCAGACCAATATACCTAATGTAAATTTTAGCTCCTATCTAAAGTTTTCCAACATTATTTGTTTTCAAATCATAGTGGATAGTTTTAATATTCCTACCCTGACATCGAATGTTTTCATATTATCACTACGTGTGTTTAGAGCATTTTATCTGCTTGTTATTTATAAACACCTAAATATTAAACCTGTTTTTGAAAAGATGTACCACGTGATTATTCAGTGTTTGATGTTTCACCTTTTACACCTGATGAAACACAGGGTACCCACCACGATCCTCCAACTAATTTTCTTCTGGGCCATCCTTTCCCGTTGTTTCCAATTGCTATTCATTCCTTTGATATCTGGCTCCAATTCCCACAGCAATCTCTTCCTTGGTCTCCTTCGTTTCCTTTCGCCTTCAGAAGTCCATATGTTTGGACTTGCCTTGTGATGCAGTTTGGTGATTTCTGCAATGTACATCCTACCAGTCTATAGCGTCTTCTCATAATTTCCTCTTCGACAGTAAGTTAATTGGTTCTCTGTCATCGTAGGTTGTTACTGATTGTATCCGATCAATGGATCGCGAGTATCTTGCGTAGATATCTCTTTACAAATAAATGTATCTTTATAATGATGGTTGTAGTAGTTCTCCAAGTTGCATTTGTGTACAATAGAACTGTCTTGACGTTTGTATTGAAGATTCTTTGATTCTGGCTGATAGTTGTTTTGAGTCCCGTATTTTCTTTAAACATGAGAATGTTGTGTTTGCTTCATTAATGCGTGCCTTAACATCTGCATCAGATTGTCCCAGTTTATCGATGGTGCTGCCGAGGTAAGCGAAAGTTTCCACCTTTTCCAGAGTTTCTTTATCAAGTGTTATTTGGTTAGTGCCCGTTGTGTTGTATTTTAGGATCACGCTTTTCTTCTTGTGTATGTTGAGACCTACTGCTGAAGAGACTGCTGCTACACTGACTGTCTTCACCTGCATTTGATGGTGCGTGTGCGTGTGCGTGCGTGGGATAGAAGTGCCAGATCATTTGGGAAGTACAAGTCGTCTAGTTGCATCCAAGCTGTCCACTATATTCCGTGTTTCCCTTGAGATGTGGAGGTCTCCATAATCTAGTCAACGACGGAAGAGAGAAAAGAATGAGAGAAGGCAGCTCAATCTAACACCGGTATTCACTTGGAATGCATCTGTGAGTTGACTTCCATGCACGACTTTGCGGTGTAGTCCATCATAAGGATTCGGCATAATGTTGACATCCTTCTCAGATACACCATAATGTTGAGGAAGGTTCCTCAAGGTCCCCTTATCCACTTTGTCAAGTGCCTTCTCATAGTTGATGTGTAGTCATAAATCCCATCCAATTGGCTGTTCAACAATGGTCCGTAGTATTAATAAAAATAATATATTTGTAATATCCCAATGAGCAGGTGAATTAAATTTTTGGGTTTCTCGATGATTCGTGGCTCAGTATAAACCACTTCATTAGAGAATAAATAACTAACCAAAGGTAGTTTTACGGTTTGGTCTGTACACGGCCTATGCTTACGGAATCCAGCCTGTTTATCTCATAGTTTGGCGTCTACCAATTCTTTCATTCGGTCCAACAATATTCTGTTGGAAAATTTTCATGGTACCGATAGTAGTGCGATGCCCCTGTAGTTCTCATGCTAGTTGAGATCTCCTATCTTTCGTATCTTGATGTGGCATTCTTCTTTCTGGTCTGTAAGCACTTTTCGTGAATAGAATGTGGAGCATGTTTGCAGTTACTTCTATGTCTGACTTCAGTGCTTTGGTTGGTATGTTGTCTGGTCCAACTGCTGCTTTCTCACTGTTGATTTGTTTGATTATCATTCTGATTTATTTGATCGTTGGTGAGTTGACATCTATAGGAACGTCTGTGTGTGCTTTTTTGATGTCTCGTGGGTTCAGTGAGTCTGATCTATCCAAGAGCTCTTCAGTGTTCCATCCACCTGTTCCTCTGTTTCTGAATGTCAGTGACTGAGTCGACTTATCTATTATTGACTGGTCTCTCTGGTTTACAACACTTCCCTGTCAGTTTCTTCATTGTGTCATATAGTTGTTTTATATTTCCTTCTTTTGCATATTTTTCTCCTGTCTCCCACGTATTTTCACCTATGGGTCTATTACCCCTCTTCATTCTCTTGTTTACTTCCGTGTATCTGACCTATGCTTTAGGTTTCTCTGCTCTTGCTCGGCTGCTGTTAATTAGCGTCTTGTTTTTCATTTATTGAGTCCTACCCTGGGTATCAATAGAGATTCACTCGTTATACTGGTGCTTCTTGCAATCCAACGCCTTCTGGCACGTTGAAGCCATAGCTTGTTTAGTACCTTTCCAGTTGTTCTCCATAGTGATTTCCTTTTCCTTCTGTAGATCTTTTAAGACCTGGAACCTGTTACTGAGAGCTGTCTTGAGTTCTCTGAGTTTTTCATTATGTCGCAAAAGGCTGTACTAAACCTTCGTAAGGCTGTTTCTCCAATTGTCCAATGCTTCGTTAGCTTTAGTTTCATCTTGGCCACAAACAGGTAGTGATCCGAAGCTATATCAGTTCCTCTCTTTGTTCTAACATCCTCCATAGATGTGCTGAGTTTTTTTATCGATATAACTATGATCGTTCTGGTCCCCTGTAGTGTGATCCGTTGAGACCCATATAGCTTCACTTTCGCGTTTTTGTGAGAATATAGTACCACCTATGACCATTTTGTTAGAGACACATGAATGTGAAAATCTGGTTCCTTTCTCTCAGTCAGTCCATATCACCACATGATATCTTCATATCTGGTGTTGTCCATTCCAACTTTGGCGGCCAGGTCTCCCATCGGGTTGGTCAGGTCCTTCCCTGGACACTTCTCTACGATCGACTGCAGCCTTCCATAAAACTGATCTTGATCGTCGTCATTGATATTATCGGTAGGCGCATAACAGTGGAAAACATTCATTGTGATTCCCTCCTTCTTCGTTCCGAGGATTCTAGATCAATGAAATTCTCATCGTATGAGTGCCTTTAGTGCTTATTCGAACAGCAGCAGTGCAACTCCTTGTGTATGCGAGGCACTTTCTTCTCCGTGATCAGAGTACAACATCATACCTCCCAAATCTAGTCTTTTCTGTTCTGACTTGGATCAATGAGTTTCACTTATTTCGAGCACCACCGAGTTGTAACTCGTCATTTTCGCAGTAATTTTACTGATCTTGTCGGTCTCCCACATTGCTCAAACATCCCATGTATCTGTGTTGATTGTTACTATGGTTATTAAAAGGGACATCAGGTTCGTGGCTTCTTAGGAATCTCGTCCTTCACTATGAGGCGTCATAACTCTTCTAAATGAAGACCCTTCAACTTCCAGTACAGAGCCTGAATTTTTTGAATGATTTTATCTGTTCATTTACCCTGGCCTAGGACCGGCTATAACCCTGGTTTGGCTAAAGGTAGATTTAAACTTTTATATACGACACTTCAATATGGGTCATGTCACCACAATACCACTAGATAATATCTCAAAGTGGATCTGATAAACATCCCACAAACATAATGTCAGTCAAATTTTGTATTCGCTCATTGCTCTTGAAGATTATTGCTGGGGTTTTGTGCCTTAGTTTAAAACATAGATGTAAAAAAAGATAGTATCACCAAGACAAGGACATTTTTAGTTGTATATTTGTACAGCTAGATGAATTCCGAGACATTTAATACTAAAAGTTCCCACTGGAGTTAACTCTAGCAGGCAAATTAGAAGTGACAGGCAAGTAAATGCTTGAAGACAGCAAACAAGTAAATCCACTCAACATACATGTTCATTGCCTGATCACTAAAGCTGCGCAGACATTCACTTGCACTTTGAGTAAAATAATGTAAAATGGACAAAGTTGTAGTTAGTAGATTTTTAAGTGGAAGATAAATGTTTGTAAAAAGAACCTTAGACAGACAGAGAATGACCAAAAGTTATTATTTAGGACAATTTTCTCAATTATATATACACTGTCCTTCCATTGTTTTAATTTTGCTTTAAAGCAAGCATTATGGTTCTTGGCTCTGGAGTTTATCGCATTGGCTCTAGTGTTGAGTTCGACTGGTGTGCTGTCGGCTGTGTCAAAGAACTTCGACGCCTGGGATGGAAAACAGTTATCATCAACTGTAATCCCGAAACTGTATCAACTGACTTTGATATGTGTGACCGACTCTATTTCGATGAACTATCTCTTGAACGTGTTCTAGATATATATGAGTAAGTCTCATAATCCAACTATTTTAAGTAACTTGACGTTTTATTTCACAGAAAGTGTACGTTTATGAAAAAAGAGGTTTCTCAAGCAGTCCTGTTATTAATTAAGTGATTCGAATGAAACTCTGTACCTTAATTAAAAATTACCTTACTAGTTCGTTGCTATTTCACTAATTAAACAAATAAACGTCCTAACGACTTGTTAATTCGTTAAGTAAGGTATTGTTGACAAAAAACAGTTACTATGTAGTATTGTGAGATTTGTCTTTTTGGTGGCACTTTTAGTTCTCTGATGTCCTCAGAACTGTAATATATATCGTAGTGTGCAGGTTGATCAGATGGCCACAAATGCCCTTGAAGTAAATCTCTTGATGAGATGCGACTGGTTTTCAGCTTGATGAACTTCCAACCACTTCAATTCAATCAGGTTGAATATGCTATAAAAATATTATTTCAATATACTTTTGAGTATCATTCGTTTTATACTCACTCAGTTGATGAAGTGGGGTTTACTATTCAGTATAAACAAAACAATGTCCGGAACTGTGTTAAATGTGATGTGTTGCAGTTCTTGTTTCTTTATTGTCTTTTTCTCCTTAGTACAACCCTGTAAATCTAGAAATCCGTTTATTCAGCCTTGAACCACAAATCTTTTCTCAAGATCTAGTAATATTACTCATCTGCCTGAACTGAAGTAGCTTAAGCTGGATTAGATCTTGTGATACATGGTTAATAGCTGGATGATTTTACCATGTCACTACTGATATAAAAGAATTTCGGTCTCTTTAAATGATCCAGGTGCGCGATCTTTGAAGAATTTTGTCGACAATAGATCCAGATGATTTTCAACGTTCACTAAGGAGATCTTTTATCTCGACCCATGGACTTACAAAGAAAACTACTGTTACTACATTTATATGACAGGCCATCATTCAGATGTAATAAATTTTGAGTGCGAGTTTTTGATGTGAATAACTTGTTGATTGTTTTGTTAATTCATTTCTTATATATCACTACTTTTGTACAAAATACTTTTATGCCCAAGATTTAACTTGAATTTGATACTGAAATACTTCCCATGAGATCACTTAACTATGTTTTGTGTGTCATCCTTAATTCCTAACTGTAATTATAGATTCGAATCACCCATAGGTGTTATCGTAAGCATGGGTGGCCAAACACCAAATAACATTGCTATGCCAATGCATCGTTTGGGTGTACCTATTCTCGGCACAAGTGCTGAGTCCATTGACAATGCTGAAAACCGTTTCAAGTTTTCACGTTTGTTAGACTGTATCGGGTTGTCACAGCCTAGATGGAAAGAACTCACTGATATTGATTCAGCCAAGGCCTTCTGTGAAGAAGTAAGCAAGGTTTCTCTATTTTCTGATATTATATTTTGTTCGTAATCTTGTTATCTTCAACAGTATGACGTAATTCCCATCGTGAATAATTAATCCATAGCTATTCTTTGAAAAGTGCTTTCCAAATGGGCAAATATTATTCTCAGAAATCGGCTTCACCCCCTTTAAAATTTGATCAAGTAGATTTTCAACTCGGCATCTATTTATTTGAGTTGTAATCAGTCCCAAACAAACCGTACAATTTTTAGTAGATCTTATCGTTTGTTATGGTCGACTAAATAGTTCAGTCACTTATCGTATTGATAGGCAATAACCGTTCTACAGTAGATGCTTGTTTGAACTCAGCCAGTAATTCTTATAAAGCTTAAATGGATATCGACCCCTGTTATTATACTTTACCTCTGCAACATTGTCTATAAATTCGTGATTTAAAGCTTTGGATACAAAATCAAAGACTAAAACAATAAACGCGCGTAGATCTAAAAGACGATTTGCATAAAACTGAGCGGAGTATTTAGAGTGACGCGTAGACTTAGATAATTTATTATCATCATTGAAATAATTGAATGGAAGTTTATCTATATCGAAAAGAAGTTGGTACTTGTTGTTTTTCATGTATCGGGATAAATAATTATTTTTAAAAATACATCAATGACATTAAAATAAGAGTGAGGTCCTATATTTGTCATGACTTATCGATTGATGAATCAGTTGGAGGTAACTGATCTCACCTCTCCCAGAATGGACTTGAAGTTGCATTACAAATCAATTTGGCAACATGTTCACTAAACTGATTGATTTAAGTCACGAAAATAATATTGGTGAATAAAAAATATCTTATTATTAGTACTACTATTTATCATATTGTCATTCAGAACTTTTTGTTTTGATTTACAGGTCGGTTACCCATGTCTCGTTCGACCAAGTTACGTGTTATCTGGTGCTGCTATGAATGTTGCAAACGATCATGATCAATTAATTACATTCTTGACTGCTGCAAAAAATATTAGTCCAGAACACCCAGTTGTTATAAGTCAGTTTATTTTGGATGCCAAAGAAATAGATGTTGATGCTGTTGCACAATCTGGTCGCCTAGTTGCAATGGCTGTCTCTGAACATGTGGAGAATGCTGGCGTTCATTCGGGTGATGCAACACTTGTCACACCCCCTCAAGACCTCAACGAAGAAACTCTGAAGCTTATTAAAGAACTAGTTCGAGCTTTGGCAGATGAACTCGAAGTATCGGGTCCATTCAACCTACAACTTCTTGCTAAAGACAATCGTCTTTTAATCATAGAAGCTAACTTAAGAGTCTCCCGTTCTTTTCCATTTGTATCTAAAACACTAAAGTATGATTTCATAGCCGCTGCTACACGAGCCATTCTTGGTGCGGCACGTGATTCCATACATCCCCCATTTGATACACATAGCTCAAAGCCGGAAAGATTGTCTCTATCCAAGGCCTTTCTTGAACCATCTGTCAACGTTTTGGAGAACACTGTAGGATATGTTGGTGTAAAGGTATGCTTCTATGATTAAAGTCATTTTGTGTTAGGTATTTCTCGGTTTATAGGAAAATTGAATCTGTACTTACTATTATTATCGTTATTTTGTCTTCGGTAACCGTTTTGAAAAATAATTATAGCAAATGTAAATAGAAGCATATTTTCAGTCTTGTATTTCGTGATTTAAGATCTTAGTCGAAGAAACAAATCGAAATATATTAAAAGGCTATCTGTTGTAGAAGCTATATACCTTTATATTCAGTATCGAGCGTTCGGTTAGATTAAGCCTTCTTTTGTAACAGTCTATCAGTCATTTAAAGCTAAGCCATAAATTCTACAAATTATAGTATTGTACACCATACTTTTATTTCACTGATGTATATCTAAATTGCAAAATCATTTATATATCCAAGGTTCCAGTATTCTCTTTCGCACGCCTTTTGGGTGCTGATGTTTTGTTGGGTGTCGAAATGGTCAGTACTGGTGAAGTAGCATGTTTTGGTGTTGATCGCTATGAAGCCTATCTGTTAGCACAAGCTGCTGCACTATGTAATACTAATGGACTCCTTCCTAAACCAGGTGATAATGTATTCTTATCTATAGGAAGTTATCGTCATAAATTGGAAATGCTTCCAAGGTTAGTAAAATTTTTCAAATACTGCCTTCTTTTAACAAATTTATAATTATATAAGCTTAGATTACCTACTCTATGCAAGTCAGAACATTTAAATCAAAGTTATCCAAATACCAGTGTTTTCTGTGACGTTTTTATATTTAAGATGAATGGGAACAGTAAAACACTTCACATGTTATACTTAGCATCTCATTACTAAGAAAAAAAACATAAACTTTCGGAAAAGTATTTTCTACTGTTTATTTGCGCTAATGTTATTTGCTTGACAGTAGTTAGAATAATATCTGGAAATTCTAACTAACTGGAACTTAGAAAATGTCATCATCGGAACTCACTCAAGAATTTCATTAGATAAGTAGTTTTTACAAACCCTTTGTGAATATGTGCTTCAACATATTTTCAGAACAATTTCTTGTTAAACCGAATTATCAAAAAACTGGTCAGGCTTAGCAAAATTAAATGCAGACCAAATTTTTGGGTATGCATAGTATCCGCTGTAATTACAAAATCTATAAACTTTATACCGGACAATTAGGTCATCAGTTCTTTCCCTTGACGATTTTGACTTCAAGAATTAGGTGATGGATGTCATTCAGTTTATAGATTATTTTTACTACTTTGATCACTGTTTCTAGTATCTGCGATTATTTATATAACTGACTGGTGAGATTGAAAAATTACATGCTAAATATTTAGCATACAATTGCTATTATAAATAAAATTTATTATTTACTTCTCAGTTGAGGATGTTTATTGTTTAAGTATTTATTTGGGTTGCGTTTTCGAGATTATTGATTAACAGATGTTTTTTTAGAAGAATCAAACAAATTTAATGATAATGCGGACTTTATAATATCATCTGTATAGTACTGCCTTAATATCAACTCATTCTTACATCACTAGTAGCTAGAATGATTTGTGCAATCAGAATAAACAAAAATAATTCTCATTTCTATCAGTCTTAATTGTCATATGTGCTTCATATACAGGCTCTCTTGGTACAGCCATTTTGTCACAAATTTCTACACAATAGATGGAATCCAGGATGCGGGTTTCATTCTATTTAAGTCTCGTCAGCTGAGTGTACGTGAATCTCAGTATTGATGTTCACACTGGCGCCGGAACCCAATCCATTATAAATTAAAATTCGTACTTGTTGCACAAGCTAGTGGATATCTGAGCTGAGTTACTCAACAGATAACTCGGGCGTTTGGTTGAAAAGGTACTGAGTTCGAGTCCTGTTGTAAACATTAACATTGAAATCTAGGTGTATGTTTAGCTGACGAATTTCAAATGTGACAAAACGCGCTTTGTGTCTTCTCTGCTGGCCGCACTTCATCGTACTCTATAAGAGCCTATTGTTCTGACACGGCTTTTTATCAAGTGATTTCTAGTTGATAAGTAACATTACCACCCGAATGAAAAAATTCTTCTATATTTAACTTTATCATACTTTGCTTCACAGTGTTAAACAGTTACACCTACTTGGATACAAATTATACGGAAGCTGTGGAACTGCTGACTTCTATCAAACTCAAGGCATTTCGATCATCCCAGTTGAATGGCCTTACGAAGAATCAGATATAAGCATTTTTGATAATAAGTGAGGTCTTTTTGTAACATTTTCCTCAATTTGTTTGGTATTTATCATTGTAATCAAAGCTCACTTTGTCTTTAATAATGTTCAGGAGAGTTTCGAACAAATATTCTTACCGTATGCTATGATTAATCTTCTATTTCTTGCTTTAGCCTCGTGTTGTTTAATTACTTACTTACTTACGCCTGTTACTCCTCGTGAAAGAGTATAAGCCGCTCACCAGAATTCTCCATCCAACCCTGTCCTGGGCAATCCTTTCCAGCTCCTTCCAGTTGTTATTCATCCTTTTCATATCTGCTTCTATTATCCGACGTAATGTGTTCTTAGGCCTTCCTCTTTTCCGCTTCCCTTCAGGATTCCAAGTTAGTGTTTGTCTCATGATGCAGTTTGACGATTTGCGTAATGCATGTCCTGTCCATTTCCATCGCCTTTTCCTAATTTCTTCTTCAGCTGGAAGCTGATTTGTTCTCTCCCACAAAAGGCTGTTGTTAATGGTATCCGGCCAATGGGTGTTAAGTATCTTGCGAAGAAAGCTATTTATAAATACTTTTACCTTCTTGATGGTGGTTATTGTAGTTCTCCAAGTTTCAGCTCCGTACAGTAGAACTGCCTTGATGTTCGGATTGAAGATTCTCACTTTGATATTGGTTGAAAGTTGTTTTGAGTTCCATATATTCTTCAATTGTAGGAATGTGGCCCTTGCTGTGCTAATCCTTGCCTTTACGTCTGCATCTGAACCTCCTTGTTCATCGATGATACTTCCCAGATATGTGAAGGATTCTACATCTTCCAGAGTTTCGCCATCAAGAGTGATTAGGTTGCTGTTCTCCTCTTTGAATTTGCGGACCTTGGTTTTCCCTTTGTGTATGTTGAAGCCTACTGATGCAGAGACTGCTGCTACACTGGTTGTCTTTATCTTTATTTGTTCGTGTGTATGAGATAGGAGAGTTAGGTCATCTGCTAAGTCCAAATCGTCTAATTGATTTTGAGCTGTCCATTGTATTCCGTGTTTTCCTTCAGATGTCGAGGTCCTCATAATCCAGTCGACCACCAGAAGAAAAAGGAAGGGAGAGAGTAAACAGCCTTGTCATCCAGTTGTCCTCCATAGTAGTTTCTTCTTCCTTCAGTAGATCCTGTAAGGCTTGGAACCTGTTGTTGAGAGCTATCTTGAAATCATCGAGTCTGTCAGTATCTTGAAGGAAGTCTGTATTGAACCTTTGTATTGCTGTTTGTCCAGTTGTCCAGTTCTTTTTCAGCTTCAGTTTTAAATTGGTCACAACTAGGTGGTGATTTGAAACTATATCAGCTCCTCTCCTGGTTCTCACATTTTCCATTGTCCTTCAGAACTTTTTGTTGATGCAAATATGATCTATCTGGTTCTCTGTGGTGTGGTGTGGTGAGATCCATGTAGTCTTGTGTATACGCTTGTGTGGAAATATTGTGCCCCCTATGACCAATTTGTTGAATGCACGTAGATTTGCAAATCTTTCTCCAATCTCGTTCCCCTCACCAGTCCATGTCGTCCCATGATATCTTCATATCCGGTGTTGTCTATTCCGACTTTGGCATTTAGATCTCTCGTCAGAATGGTGAGGTCGTTTCTTGGGTACTTCTCTATGATTGACTGCAGCCGCTCGTAGAATTGATCTTTAATGTCGTCGTTGCTATCATTGGTGGGTGCATAACATTGGATAATATTCATTATGATCCTCTCCTTCTTTGTTTTGAATGATGGTTTGATGATTCTGGATCTGTGAGATTCCCATCCTACAAGTGCATTTCGTGCTACTTTGGACAGCATCAGAGCAACTCCATGACTGTGTGGAGCATTTTCCTCTTCGTGACCAGAGTATAGCAGCATCTTTCCCGTATTTAGCTTTTGTTGTCCAGCTTGGGTCCAATGGGTTTCGCTGATTCCCAGTACTGTCAAGTTGTATCTCCTCATTTCCGTTGCTATTTGACTGGTGTTCCCGGTCTTCCACATTGTTCAGACGTTCCATGTACCTACAAAAATTTTGCTCTGGTTGTTAGAAGGGGCATCAGCCTCATGGCTTCCGAAGGAACTCGACTTTCACGATGAAGCGTCATAATTCTTCTAGAAGAAGACCTTCTAACTCCCAGGGCAGAGTTAATGTGGTTTGGATTAATTTTTTTTTTGGTAAGCGTTTTTTTAGCGAGTTAGTTTTCTACGGGATGGGTTCGCTAACCCCATGCCCAACCCTCCTCCTTTACACGGGCTTGGGACCGGCAGTAACTCTAGAAGAGCTACAGGCGGAGTTTTGTTGTTTAATATGTTGTGGAAAATCTTCCCTCGTATTATTGGTGCTACTCAACTATTTTTAGTGGTTTTGCTTCGTTAATCGATCACCTCGATAACCGTTATAGTATAAATCGCAACGGCGTATAAATCAGAAGGTAATGAGAAACGACAACTACAAGTTATTAGCGGATGGCGCAGATCATAAAGCTGTAAGCACATCGAGCATATTCGAAGCGAGAAGCGAATAAGAATATAAGAGCAATTACGTAGGCAAATTTATAGTCGAATTCATAAGGCAAAGCAAGGACTAATAATAGGATTTTAGTACATATGTACAAGGGAAGGAGGATGAATCATCGAGTGATAATTAAGCGATCAACATTTTAGCTGGAGTCATATGATCTAATGATCATAACGCTACAAAGAAATATACGGATTGTTACTGTTCAAATAACATGGTCTGTTAAGTAAGCTAATAAAAGGGTTTGACAAAAAATTAATCACAATCGACATTGGTTGTAGGATAGTTGCTATATATTTACTTAAATTAGGTTTCTTTAAACTTTTTTTTAGAATTCAAAATAATATGGATGCAAACTCAAAAGACGGTACAATTCAGCAGTATCTTAAAGATAAACTGTTTTCATTGATTGTTAGTTTATCATTGAAAAAAGTGGGATCTCGACGTCTTTCAGCATTTGTTACACGTGGTGAGCAACATGTCACTCATTTTGTCTGGTTATACAAAACTTTTCAATTCACACACTAGAATTACCGTGTCTAAAATTAGGAACACTAATTAAATATTACATGTAAAACGCAACAGGACATTCTGTACTGAATTATAAACTACTGTAGGTATTTTGAAATAAATGTGTTATAACGCTCAGTTTTACTTCGTCTTAGACGAATATCTACACTAGATTTCCTCCCAGTGTCTACAGGACTTCAACACAACTCAGATCAAGAACACGTGATTAGCCTGACCACATCGCAAATATATTTCCTCACCAAAAAAACTCGACACATTTCAACAACAATGAACAATCAATAGTAAGTGAGGAGTAATGATAATAAGGTTAGGGGAATATGTATCTCATCTTATATCTGTCTGACTAACCAGACAACCAATCATTATCACTCTCGCCTACACATCGGAATGAAAATTATAGATCAAATCTATACGAGTTCCCTAACCTTATATTTTATAGATCGTCTCTGATTAGTTTAGGGACAAACACGTATACTTATTCAGACATATAAACATTAGAACAAAGAGGAACCAAATTTACATGCGTAGAAAAAATCATTTGATGCTTACGAGGCCTGGGATACTGTTCGAGCTTCAAAACTGAAGCAGGTGGTTTTCTTAGGGGGTCACACCTGGAGCTTTTGACCCAAAGGTCTGGTCCACAAGACAGTGGAGCAACGTTGAGAGATGCAGTCCCGTGGTAGCCAGTGACCAACAATAGATTCATACGCCATTTGTTCCTTCAGGATGCTGAGGCCTATGTGCACCATTGGTTTGGAATCAGGGTTTTCCAACTCTCCTAGGTGAACTATCGGTGTCCACTAACCCGGTTAAAGCGCCGGACATTCGCTTTTCGTCCTCTGAATTTCGTAAACAACACCCGCGCTACGAGAAGGCAGTGAGTAGGACTTCCTTGAGAGAGGTTGTATACGCGTGGTCATGTGAGAGTATTTCGAGAGGGAGAGCTGACCCTCCCCACTCTCAACTGTACCAGATTATTGTGGGCAGCAAACACGTAATATCTATACATTCCTTTATACTCAAGACTTTACGTTGCTGAAATGCTATGAGAAAGTCTGTTTATAGTAATTATAATTCAAAAATAATATACAATGAAGTTTTTTGTGTAAGACGCTGAACAAATTTCGGAATTCTGTTTTAATGAAATCGAATATAATATGAAAGGATATATTTTTCTTACCTTCACTACAATTGTTATGAATCGCCACTGAAATCTCTAAATTTCTTTGAGTAAACGGATTTCGATTGCAGTTTTAATCCCTGTAGTAGATTCATTCAGGTTTAACCTTGGTATATGACATTTATTTCTTTGCATCAGCTATTTACAATCAAAAGCTAATCAAGTTACAAAATATTTACGAAACTCAGCATGTTGTTTGGTGATTCGCATCTATTATTATTAAATTTTTTGTTCATAAAATTCATTTAGGCTATCAAACTAGACGTCTTGCCGTTGACACAAATGTACCTCTTCTAACTGATGTAAAACTGGCTAAACTTCTAATAGAAGCTCTTTATCGTTATTTTCATGGACAGAGTGCAAATAAAACACTAATAAAATCTGACGACAACGACTATAACGTATATAAACAATCATTCCTTCATCGTTTACTTCCATTGCATTCAATAACTTCCAGTCAAATAATCTATTTGCCAGGATTGATCGATATTCACGTCCACACCAGGTAATATTTTATGCAATAGTCACCTTGTATCTTTTTATATTTATTCACTGATGACCTGATAATATGCAACATAGTTTTGCGTAGAAACGTGCCATTAGACTATCCTAATTAGAACGACTTGAGGTGTTTCACAATTTGTTTGACATTTGTTCTAATACTGGCGTTTGATTATTAGTGAAAATTGCGGAGTAGTTATTAAATGATTTATCATTCATCTAATGTAAGTTATATCTAATTCAGTTTGTTAACGAAGTACCGACTATTGTACTCACTTTTAAATTACACTTGTGTAAAAGCTACGCACTAAGGTATTAGACAAATCAAAATCAGTGATAAATGTTAGAATCTGTTATCAGTGCCAAAAATTAAGTTATTGAACAACTGAATTACAGTTACACATTCTTTTATTTATGGTTATTCCATAACTGAAGTTCAGTGTGCTGATTGAATAGTGTTAAACGAGGTCTGTGTTTAGTTTGGATCAATAGCTATGTGTAGAAATTTAAAAATCCATAATTTGCTAAATTTAGGTAAAATACCCAAAGTTATCATCTATTCTGTAAATTTAAGAACTCATTGACCAAATAAATCCCAAATCGTTCTGGAAAGTTATAAGGGTATAACTTAATCTAACAGGATGATGCTATGGTTTCGTTTTCATGTCCTTCAAAAGCCTTAGAAAAGTCCTCTGGATCGATAAAAATAGGAACTGTAATAATTGAGTAAGCTAATTTATTGAATGAAATCACTTATTTAATTAGTATTTAGTTTAAAAATTATGTTGACTAGATTACATTTAATTAGTCAGTAAAATGTGCAAAGGCCTAAAAAGAATCTTCAGTAAACCAGCTCTAATGGCAAATGAATGGAGCCGTTGTCTAACTGAAGTTATCCTTATTTTTAATAACATTGTGTTAGCAGTATATTCGACAAATCATATTCGTTTGGTTGTAACTTAGATATGTTATAACTTGTCAACTATGTGTCCTGTTAATGTATAACGTAATGATACCGCCAATTAGAGAGCATTGACTTATCGATCGTATCAATGACGCGTAAACCCGTATGGGCAGTCTAAAGTCCTTACTGACCCTGCTTCGTGCCTAGCCCAGCCATTTAAGTTCAGAACACAAATTCCAGCCTCTGCGCTATGAATTATTTATTTCAAGCATTCCAATCAAACAGACCACAACGTACCATAAAATAGAAAATAACATTTGTACAAGATTTGACCAAAAGTGGCTGTGAATGAGGGAGGTAGTGACTAATAGACAGGGCATAATTCAACAATGGTGAGACGTATAATAGTAGTTCATAGTTCAAAATAAAGCCTATGATAAGAATATGAATATGCATAGTTTAGTTACTTAACAATTATACCATAAAAATATGCGTTTAGTATTGGTCCATAAATGAATCCCAAAAGTTACCATTCATTATACTTACCAGGACATAACAAGATAGTTTCTTATGATTTGAAAGGTTTATGAGTTCTTTGTAAATCAATTTGATATCATTTTTGAAGATGAGAATGTTACACGTACAACGTTTTTCTGATAAACATAGATTTTATGTTAATAGTTCACTAAAAAGTGACTTAAACTGTTCACTAGAAGTAATATAACCTCTTGTTGTAGAAATGATTATGGTTTTCCTGATGAAAATAGTGTAAAGATAATAAATCTCATTTGTATTAATCACATAAGATGGTAATTAACAACAAGTAGTATGTTTTTGTAGTACATTCAAACACTTATCCAGAGGCTATTACTGATACCTTCTGATATGTTCACCTTTAACTGTTTGTTCTGTTAAATCGAGGTTAATGTTCAATAGGATGTGTATGATTGTTATTAACATTCTGACTATGCATCTTTATTTGGTAACGATTTTGTCACTATTATTCTCATCTCTATACATCCAAAGCAAGTCGGTATAGGCGAATTCACACTTTTGATCGGTGCCAAGATTTCGCCAGCCACCAACTTACTAAGACTGTTGTAATTTTCAGGATAAATGAACTGATTGACCAGTTGGACTACGTTAATCTCCATAGTCAGATTAAAAGTTAATACAGACGAGTTTTTGAATTAGTGGTAGACAAACTCATCCCAAACTTTCTCAGATTGTTGCTCAAGCTATTGAAAAGACTCAGTTGCTTGACTAAATGAAACTGTTATCTACTTACTATGTCACCGACTACCTCTATAAGTAAGAGATCAATCCCCGGAAAGTCAGATAGAAAAGAGTTGTTTTTGAAAGTATATCTTTCATAAAATTAAATAAAACTAGAGAATTTATCAGTCTTCATGAACTACATTTGATGCAGATAATTGATCATTTGATAGTTGATAATTAATAGTTTACCGTAACATCCAGCTTTACCAATAGTACCCAAACAAATAACTTACAGTAGGTTTACAAACATTTTTCGAACATGATTGGAATCTAACTGTTTTATATGACTAAATTTGACGTCCGTATATATCTTTTTAGAACTTTTTAACTTAAAAATATTTGGCTAATAGTTCCGCCACTATGTTTAAAATCTATATAGCTTTCTCTGGTTCACTGTTTCCATTCTACATTTGAGCGTCAGGTGATTAAGGAAGCTAATATTTTAGACGCGATGTTAGTTGGAGTGACTCGTCCGTGGCTATAAAAAAGGGATCTCCTTTCTTAGAGGGACGATCGCAACACTCAGGTGTAACGGTATCCAGTTTTTAAGATCTGATTAGTAATTAAGCCAATTTTAATGGTAATGCTAATGCATCATTCATAAAGACTTTTGAAACTAACTTATTAAATCTTGGTCCTGTTGTTCGCTTTAAGTTAGCTATTGTCTTCCAAAATTCCCTTAGATTCATGCGGTTGACATCTGTCTTTCGTTCAAAGTGTCTGTAAATAGTAGCAAGTGGAAAGAATAGCTGGAGCGAATTTAGGCTGTTTCCGAAAGTGTTGAATCTATCATTCCAGTCGCCTAGATTGAAAGTAAATCACATATCCACCTATTTCCGAGATAGTCTCAATGATAGCTGATATTTTAACATATATATCTCTCATAAATCTGGAAAACTATTCTATGTTAACTATTGCAACTGCCTTTTCCATCCTTTCTGCTTTCAATTACTACATAAGCATTTTGTTTACGTTTAAGTTGCCTCGAACCACTATCGCGTTCGGACCCTGTCGAGATATATTTAGCTGCAGAAATCAATTCAGTAAATATTCCAAACATTCACTATTCATTTTCTAAACATTTTGATGTAGGTTGCTAACAGATATGTTTGTGTTTACACCTAGTTGAATACTATATCGAACTAGTTGGAGACGAGTATTCTTATGTGGCTATAAGTGTTCAGCTAGTTCTTCATTGGATATGTCCGTAACATTTACATCTTTAGACTAAGCTCCAAAAGCCCTCCTTGTCCCAGTTACTTTGATCTTGTACATGAACATCACCAAAATCCAGAATTGAACTCTAGAAAGAGTTGGAAATTTATACCAAACCTCCTCAACAAAGTTTTATTAGTGTCAATCTTTGAGTTTCTGTTGAGTGTCCCCAAGTCAGACGATATCGTTAGTCTAATTCACGAATGTTCACTCCACTTTCTGATTCCAAACTAGAATCATACCAATGGGATCACCAGAAGTTACTAATAAAGTTCCATGTAGATGATGGCTGGATTGTGTTGGTTTTCCACACCGATAGTAAGACATCATTTATGGACCTTATATTTTATTTTATTTTTGGTCCTTAGCACTCTTCAACTGACCTGTCTTGGATGTTAGAATATCAGGCAACGAACATTACGCTCACTATAGGTTGTTTCAGTTATCATCAAGAAACTCCGATCACTTCATTAATTTCACATACAGGTTAAATGTTTTCTGTTTAGTGTTTTTCAGGTTAAATAGGTTCCGATATTTTTTCCCAAATAATCCTTTCAAGTTGTTTTACAAGGTAAAAGTTATGACCATTTAATTTAACTACGTGATAAAATGATTGACTATAAATTCATCTATTATTAGATCCTCCACAAATGATATGGGTTTCGTCTGATGAAAAAGTCAGTTAATGAAATATTTTCATGACTATTCTCTGGGTATTTTAAAAATTGATGACTCGTTATTTTTATCTTTGCCTATTACTTATACAGGGATCCCGGAATGGAATATAAGGAGGACTGGACATCTGTTACTAAAGCTGCGCTTGCGGGTGGTATAGTAACTATTTTAGCAATGCCAAACACTGATCCTGCAATAGTTGATGAAGATACCTTTAACATTATGAGCAGAAATGCAACATCTAAGGCATGTTGTGATTATGGTCTTTATGTTGGCGCATCATCGGAAAATGCTTCCACTATTAGCTCACTGTCACATAAAGCTGTTGGACTCAAGATGTATCTTAATGAAACATTTACTTGCTTATCGTTAGGCAATAAGCTTAATATTTGGCGTCAACATTTTGAAGTGAGTAAGACGCAATAAAGCTTTTTCTTCACTACGACTGACAGTATTAGTACTGAAGCTCTTATTATCTATATTATTTAAATGTCGTACAAATTTAGCAGAGTATATTTCATTATTCAGGATATTTTTTTAGGAAAACACGTTAATTTATTTGATATATAAATGACAAATAACACTACAGTAATCATTTATGTTTTTGGTGAATTTTCATTTTCTGAGCCAGATGGTTTATTCATGGAACTTTGATTGTTCTTCTGAACAACATCATTAGCATAAAATTCAAGTAGAGTTGATGTATTCAAATTTCTTCACAGTCTATTAGAACTCATCGATTTATGGTTAACAAAATATTTTCAATACAGCCATGAAATATACAAACAGATGAAAAGAACACCAGTTTCATCAGCAATATCAGAACCTATTGCAGAAGCAGTGATGCAGAGGTTGGAAGCATCGAATTCACCAGTAATCAAGCCGAAAATGTGGATTCTTTATGTGGACGACACGTTCGTCATCATCAATAAAGACAGGCTGGAAAACACCTACAGTTTGGTCAACAACGTATTCGATGAAATAAAACTCACAACGGCAAAGGAGTCCAACACCAAACTATCATTCTCGATTGTATTGATCACAAGAACCAACGCAGGGAAACTGGGGATTAATGTTTATCGGAAACCAACCCATACAGATCATATTCTCATTTGCAGTAGCAACAACCCGATAACTCGCAAAATTAACTTCATACAAACGTTTTTCAAAAGGTTGAAAACACAACAGCACACTTATAGAGCTGAAAAATAAAGAAAAATATCTTTCAAAAGAGTGGCTATCCACTCAGCTTCATTAAAAAAATGTCAACCCCATTTCATTGACCAGACTGAAAGCAAATATGGAAACCAACAAACGAATAATTCTACGATATGTATAAGAAATTACGAGATTATTAAAACCGTTTTAAATAGATGTAGTATATAAACCGTCAAAATCACTGTAATCAATCTTATGGCAAGCAAACCAAAGGATGAAATGGCAAAAAAAGTGAACATCAACAAAATGAACTATTCCAACTAAAATAAACACTACACCGAACAAAGTGGAGGTCCTCATTATCTTCCCCTGCATGAACATCAACTAGTGGTCAAACACCATGAAATGTATTTGCTTATTACTATGGATGTGGCCAATCGTGGACACACATTCGACTGAAAAAACACTGAAATCTCGGATAGAGCTGATACTAAGAACAACAGAAAATTTTTAGGAGCTTGGTACCCAGGTCGATCAGCAATCAACAAGCATATCGAAATAAATCCAATTTACCGACCACTTAAATAAATCATGGACAAACATGGAATCAAGAATCAGACCAAAGGGGAATACAATCGAAATAAAGATGCAGACAAGATGCAGGTTAAAGGTCAACAATAATCTTTCAAGATCGAGGTCAACAGGATAATCTGTGAGTCATATGATAAAAAATTCGAATACTTCACCTTTATCTGAATTTTGTGCTGATGTTGTTGTTCAGAATAACAATAAAAGCTCCATAACTAAACCATCCAGCTGAGAGAACAAAACTTCACTGAAATCATCTACCTGAGCTGCAAGTCTTCTCCAACATCCCTGTTTAGACATTACTTGTTTATGTTTTCAGCTGCCAGGATTTTCAACAAATGCAAATTCAAATGTTTACAAAATATCTGTACAAATTAACCATTCGATACAAAATCAAATAAAAGCTTTTTAGGTATATCTTTATATTATCAATCGCATCGTACAATTGGAATGCTTTTTCTAATTATCACTACAAAATTACATAATGTTGCTGTCCATCGTTAAATTCATACGTAATCCGTATACTTCACATACCTTTTCTAATTAAAAGTGAACAAAATTTAAATCAAAAACAGTGACTTAATGACAATTAATGATCGACTGCTTTGATTACTCGACGGATTTCTACTTATCATGATAGAGTTTCTTTTACCTGGAATCCCTTTTAATTTATGAACTAGACAATATTAGGGGTTAGTGATAAGCAATTAGCTACCATGGTTCTTAGAAAGTTTAGCCTATCTGAGCTTTCGTACATTATTAAAAAGTCTAAATCTACTCAGCTACAACGTAGGACAAGGCAATTACATGCATCGGCCCAAGTTGCCACACCTCATTAGCACAACAAGATGAACACCAAATTCATAAAAGTAGTCCCCTCAATGGTATTAATGTATAAAACAGGGGTTGTGTGTATGGATATATTACGTGAAGAAAGACTTAATTCATAGAAAGATATAAAGCAATTACCAAAGTAAAAGTGATTCTTGGAGGAGCTATTCAATTAGGAACAAAGACTAGCTTATATAATCTCAGTAGAAAGTAAGTAATCGTACTTAACTTTAACTATCATTAAGATTCTATCAACTCAAAAGAATCTTCCACGTTAATTCCATGATTTTTGCTCCCATCGCATTATCTATTATTTTAGTCCCGCGTGCAGGATAGTGGGTGCATAATGCTGAGGAGTTCAATGCTAAGACGAAACAGCCGTCCAGTGCATACAGGTTTTCAATGTTGGTCTAACATTTATCATTTTGTGAACTCAATAAAAACTCAGCATTCTCTACAACCCTATATTGCTCATTATTTTAATCTTTCAGATAATTTCAATAGCAGATATGCGTACTTTGTCTGCATTCTTTCATGTTTAAAATTTTTATGGAATTTATTCAGTAACCTTTTATGACCAGTGCATACCTTCATAACCAAAATGGGTTGTATATGGTAAACAACTATTGATATGTTAGTGCAATGGAATTATGCCACCCCTAACTTGTACAATTCCGTTCTTTTTTTACTGCTTAAACCCGTCTCTTTTGTTTAATAAAAAAACGAACGAATTGCACCTCGCTATTTTATCTGGTTGTACTAAACATTAACTGTTTAAAAATTAGCATAAGCTGTGTTTGACTTTCAGGTATGTAGTTGACATTTATTAGTATGATAATAAAATAATAACATATTTGTGATACATCAATGAGTAGAAACTAGAATATCTGACATTTCGTGTAACCCACTTCTTGAGATTAAAAATTAAACCAATTAAAAAGTACGAAGGAACAGGCAGACTATATAGTTTAACCAATATCAGAACACATCTGATTACGTCATGTTTAGTCAAGGTAATTCTGTAAGACATTACCGTGTGTATTTGTGTGTGTGTTGGTGATGTGAGAAAACAGTAGAATTAGTTTTCTGTTTGAACGGTTCAAGTCGAATGAATAATCGTTCTATCGAGGGAAGAGGGATTTAGTTATCATTCGAAACACCCCAGTTACTCAATTTTCTCTATTATTGGAAAAACCTTTCTGAATTATTTTGAAAACCTGAAAGTCCTAAATGGCCGTTTCGTCCCTGAATGAGACCCCTCAGAAGTGCGCATGCACGGCCCCTCATGCGGTAGTTGGACCTAGGGACTCCGGTTTTGCACGAACGGTTTTAATGTATGACTTCAACCAACGATGTCGCGCGACTATCTTCCATTGTCTTCATTGGGTAACTGCCTCAAATCTGACATAGTTCAACTGCACTGACCACGGTCTCTCAATAAAACTCTGAGAATTACGTCTCGAAGCTAGTCACCAGAGAACGCATGGTATTAATCAGTATAAGGTTGTAGAGAATGTTGAGTTCCATTAAAATCACGAACAATTCAATGTTAGAACACCATTGAAGACCTGGGAGCATTGGACGGTCATTTCGTCCTAGTATGGGATTCTAATATATGGACACAATTCTGCATAGATATAAAAAGTATATTTTCCTTTAGTCAAACTGCAGCATTTCGAAGAGTTGGCTGTTTTACAAAAAATATGACGCCTCACACTGAATCACTTCGTTAAGAATAACATGACATTGACCCCTTTTTTATTTTGATTGGACTAAATATTTAGCCTGTTTATATTATTTGAACTTGTGTTAATTTGGATCGGTCATTCATTTATTTATTCTGAAAAGGTAGCTTAAATCAAGTTACGAAGACTAAAAATGTGATTTCGGTGAGACTATAGGTTATGGACGAACCAATCAGATTCACGATCACATGTCTTAGATTTCGGCTCGAAATTCACTCATCCATTTGGCTAATTAGAGTCTTGGCATTATATCTGATATCAGTTCGTGATGAAAACCCTAATTTTGATTCCTAACTCTAACCATCAACTGTAAAATCATAATTCTTATTCTTCAAACTGCTTTACAACCCTCATTTAGCCCTAGTAAGTAGGTAAACACTCTCAAGGTCAGTCTGGCGTCGCTCAAAGGTCGTCCATAAACTGTAATCTCACCGTGATTTCCATTCATTGAGTATCAAAATTACATCGTTATTTTTATTATTAACATTCTACTCTATACTCAATTTATTTGAAATAACTAAGTTCAATTTTGATAAAAAAGACTTAGTTATTAGTGTGTTTATTGACCATTTCTAACAAAAAGTTTCATCTCTCTCTCTCTCTCTCTCTCTATATATATATATATATATATATATATATATATATATATATATATATATATTTAAAGAACTGGCCAAGTGATCGTCCAATTTGTTGCCATGCTGAAGGTGAAACCATTGCCGCTGTAATTCTTTTAGCAGAAATCACTGGACGCAGTGTACATATTTGTCATGTTGCACGTAGAGCTGAAATTGAATTAATTCGTGATGCTAAACAGCGTGGTCTAAAAGTCACATGTGAAGTTTGTCCACATCATTTATTCTTAACTGCAGATGACTTACCTCAAGAAGGTGGTTGGAGTAAGTCTACTTCTCTTTTGTTGAAAGTCATCATGCTGTTGACATAATAGTTAATCACTCTTTCTAATACTAATTTGTAAATTTTAATAATTATTTGCATATCCAAAGTATTCTGTTAAGAGTTGAAAGGTTGAATTTCAATCCTATGTTAAAAGTTCATCATGATCAGAACACTCGAGTTTTATTGTCAATAACTTACTACGCTAATTACGGACGGGTAGATGACGGTTGGTTAAGACTTTTTGTTCGGATTACAACAACTACAATGTCTACATGCTTTCAAATGATTAATCAACATTGTAAATTGATAAGCTAAAGTCAGGTTTTATTTTAAACCATTGTTTATGTTGGACCGCAAACGCAGCATCGATTTGCTACTTTGACCTCATTTGGAACTGTGACTAGTCGAACACCGGTAAATTTCTTATAACCAGAAATCTACTCATCCCTAAACTGAAGTGCTTAATTTTCATTGCAAATATTTAAAGCCAAAGTACTTTAAATTAATCTTACGAGTGATGACTTAGTTTGGTTTTGTACTTAATCATTGTGTTATATGATGTTACAATACTAGTATGAATTTACTTTTAGTTTATAAGATCATCGTTATATCAGTCACTGTAGCATGTATATAACTCAATGAACCGTTTGCTTTTTGTGTGATTATCAGATATACTTATTATTAACAAAGCGTCCCTTAATTTAATCCTTACTAATTTAAGTCTGTTATTCCTGCTGAAGCATAGGCCACCCATCCGGGATTTCCGGTGGACACTGTATTAAGCTCTCCTTTCCACTTGTTGCTAAGAGGTATTCATGATATTACTCTGGTTCCCAGCTCTGTGATCCTTATTCTCACTCTCACCCATTTAGCTTGAGGACATCAAGTCACGGCTTGCTTTGTGGTAGTTTGGTGGTTTTCCTATAACGTGTCCTTTCCACCTCCAATGTTTTTTTCTTAATTCCCTCCTTAACTAGCAGCTAGTTTTTTCTCTGCCAGAATAGGTGATTGCTGATGATCTCTAACCAAAGAATCCAGATTATAATGCATAAAGAGCCGTTTATAAATATATGTACTTTTTTGGTGATGGTTTTGGTAGCTTTCCAAGTAAAACAGAACTGTCTTGAAAACTCTGTCTTTGGTGTTGGCTGAGTTCTTTTATTTTGCTCTTACCTTCATATTTGCATCAGGTCATCCTTGTTTATCGATAATGGTGCTTAGATAAACGCTTCCACCTCTTCCAGAGCTGCACCATCAAACGTGATTTTGATTGCTGCTCACAGTTTTGTACATGACTGACCTTCAAAAAAGCCAGCTTGTTGGTATCTAAGTTGAGCGTCAATTGAATCCTTCATTCGGTTCAACAACACTGTTAGACACTGAAATTGATAGTAGTGTGCAACCTCTCTAGTCCCAACTCTTAATAACGTCTTTTTCCGATATGTTTATAAAATATTCCCTTCTCTAGCTTTTTAGTACTTGTTCTTCCTCTAAATCTTCCTGTAGAGAATGCGGGGCACCTTTGAAGTTACCTCTGTATCTAACTTTAGTGCTTCTGCTGCTTTCCTACTCTTGATTTATCTGATGTTCATGCTGATTTTCGTATTGTTGATGGGGTTTATTTTGAAAAGTAATAAATCTTTAGGGAGTTGAAAATAACCCAAGATTCTTTTATTTGTATGTTTATAACAAATGTAAGCGGAGATGGTGACGGTGAGATTCATGATGTACCCATCTAATTATCATCGCTTTAGATGATAATTTTCCACAAAGCTCTACACAACTCTGTGAACTCAAATAGATTGTCTTCGAATGACACATATATAATTCTTATAGGGTTGTTAGGCTTTGATGCGGTTTCTTAGTTCCATGAATGAAAAGCGATTCATGAGTGAAATCTCTTTGCAAATCCACCTTTCTGGGAAAGCATTTCTTATTGGATTATGTTAGTAGTTAGGTAGTAATTAACGGTAATATTGTTTACAAACTGAATCAAAATTAACAAATGTAACAACTCAAAAATACATCATGGATATAAATAATTCCCCAGAAAGTAATTGATTACTGTATTCAAGTGATGTTATGCCGTAATCCTAACCAGCGGGTCTTACAGTGAATTGGGTATTCAGTTGGTTCTCCTAAATATCTTTAACGGTGGCCTTTAGATATAGAGGATATTCGTAGGTTATTAGTATTCAATAATATGTGTACTTAATCCATTGCTCGTGCACTTATAAAGTTAGACGTAGAGCACCCGATATGTATGGAAAATCGATTGATGCTGTAGTGAACCTTCATCGACTGTGATGGTCAGGATATGTATTACGTATCCCCATGCACCGGCGACCTCGACGGGCAATGTTACCTAGTGTAGGGTTAAGTTGGAAGAAAGCTAATGGTGGCTAAACCAAGACATAACATTAACCCATGAAGACACTGACTGTTGAACTAAGCCATGTAGGTAAGTGCAGACTAACTGTTTGGGGTCCACGTAATT